AATGTGAGAAGCAGTTTATATAGGATTTTTATAGTATTTTAGATGTCCTTGGGTTTCCCGAAAAAATAGTAGCAGTATAGTAATCAGCCAATCAGAAGCTCTACATGTGACTTTTTACTTTCTTGATGTTTCTGGCTAGAATTCTAATGAACGCTGATTGGATAAAATGCTTCTAAGTGTTTCCTGAGCCTTCTGGTCTTTGACGAGAAATTTTCTGGATCACCCCAACAATCAAGAAATAAGAAACAAAAACTAGCTGAAATACTTTGTGTTGCGAATTCTATATTGTACCAAAAATATAATATTGAATAAAGCTAATAATAATAAGTTTAGGTGTTAGTATGAAATCAGGAGTTGATCTAAGATAGCCGACCATTGAAAACTTGGAAGCACTAAACGACCGTTCGATTTTAGTATGGGACTCTTCAACAATGTGCATCCACAATCTCGTGCATATGAATCAAACTCGGAACCTTCAATCTCAGGCGCGAACGCTTAACTCCTAGACCACTGAGCCGACATCCAACGGTATTAATTACTAACTTCAATCAATCCATGATTTTGTGCAACTCTCCACGTATAACCTCAGGTGGATAGTTGACCCATACTCGACATGAATCGGGCTCGATTGGTTACGGCTTCTTTCAGAATATTCATGAACCAGTTATTTCATACACCTCATAATGAAAAGGAAATACACTCGTTATTTGTTAGTTTTTCAAATCGTTACATATTAAATATAACTAACTTACTACTTACTTACGCCTGTTACTTCTCGTGGAGGAGCATAGGCCGCTCACCAGCATTCTCCATCCAACACTGTCCTGGGGGATCCTTTCCAGTTGTTATTCTTGGTTTTTCCTTTGTGTACGTTGAGGCCCACTGATGCAGAGACTGCTGCTACACTAGTTGTTTTTATCTGCATTTGTTCGTGTGTATGCGATAGGATAGCTAGGTCATCTGCGAAGTCCAAATAATCTAATTGGTTCTGAGCTGTCCATTGTATTCCATGTTTTCCCTCAGAGGTCGAGGTCTTCATAATCTAGTCGATCACCCAAAGAAAGAGGAAGGGCGGAGTAGATAGCCTTGTCTAACTCCGGTCCTTACTTGGAATGCGTCTGTCAGCTGTCCTCCATGCACGACCTTGCACTGTATTCCGTCGTATGAGTTCCGGATAATATTGACAATCTTCTCAGGAACTCCGTAGTGTCGAAGAAGTTTCCATAACGTTCTTCTGTCTACACTGTCAAATTCCTTTTTATAATCAATGAAGTTGATGTACGGTGACGAGTTCCACTCAATTGATTATTCGACGATGATCCGTAGTGTTGCGATTCGTTCTGTACATAACCGATCCTTACGGAATCCAGTTTGTTGATCTCGAAGTTGGGTGTCTACTGTGTCTTTCATTCGGTTCAGCAAAACTCTGTTAAAGACTCTCCCTGGTACTGACAGTAGTGTGATTCCTCTGTAGTTTTCACATTTGCTCTACCCATATGTTCCTCTGTTGTTGAATTTCAGTGACTGGCCTGCCTTCTTTGTCCTTGACCGGTCTCTCTGGTTTACTATATTTCCCTGCTAGTTTCTTCGTTGTATCGCGAAGCTGTTTCATATTCCCTTCTCTTGCAGCTTTCTCCATCGTCGTTGCTAGTTCTTCCACGTATTTGTGCTTGTCGGTTCTAATGCTCTTCTTCACTTACTTGTTTGCTTCTATGTATTCAGCTTGTGCTTTGATTTCCTCTGCTCGTGTTCGGCTGTTGTTAATTGCTGTCTTCTTGTTCCTTCTTTCTTTGATCTTGTCCAGTGTTTCTATAGAGATCCATTCCTTATGATGATGCTTCTTGAGGCCCAGAACCTCCTGACACGTTGAAGTTAATGCTTCCATGATACCTTTTCAATTGTCCTCCATAGTAGTTTCTTCTCCCTTCAGTAGATTTTGTAAGGCTTGGAACCTGTTGTTGAGAGCTATCTTGATTTCGTTGAGTTTGTTAGTATCCCGAGGGAAAGCTGTATTGAACCTTGTAGTGCTGTTTGTCCACTTGTCCAGTTCTTTTTAAGCTTCAGTTTTAAATTGGCTACAACTAGGTGGTGATCTGAAGCACTTCTCCTGGTTCTCACATCTTCCATTGTCCTTCGGAACTTTTTATTGATGCAATTATGATCTATCTGGTTCTCTGTAGTGTGGTCTAGCGAGATCCATGTAGCTTTGTTTGTACGTTTGTGTGGAAATATTGTGCCTCCTATGACCGATTTGTTGAATACACATAGATTTGCAGATCGTTCCCCATTTTCGTTTCTCTCTCCCAGTCAATCCATGTCCTCCTACGATATCTTCATATCAGGTGTTATCTATTCCGACTTTGGCATTTACATCACCCATCAGAATGGTGAGGTCGTTTCTTGGGCAGTTCTCTATGATTGATTGCAGCCGCTCGTAGAATTGATCTTTAATGTCGTCGTTGCTATTATTGGTGGGTGCAAAGCATTGGATAATATTCATTGTAATCTCCTCCTTCTTCGTTTTAAATGATGCTTTGATGATTCTAGATCCGTGAGATTTTTATCCTACAAGAGCATTTCGTGCTTGCTTGGACAGTATCAGAGCAACTCCCTGAGTGTGTGAAGCATTTTCCTCTTTGTGGCCGGAGTATTGCAGCACCTCTCCCGTATCTAGCCTTTTCTGTTCAGCTTGAGTCCAGTGGGTTTCGGTGATTCCGAGAACCGTCAAGTTGTATATCCTCATTTCCGTTGCTATTTGACTGGTCTTCCCGGTCTTCCACATTGTTCGGGCGTTCCATGTACCTATAAAAATTGTTGTTCTGGTTGTTAGAAGGGGCATAGGCCTTGTGGCTTCCGAAGGAACTCGTCTTTGACCATGTAGCGTCATAGTTCTTCTAAACGAAGACATTCTAACTTCCAGGACAGAGTTTAAATGATTTGAACTATTTTTTCTGTACAGCGTTTTTTTAGTGGGTTAGTTTTCTACGGGATGGGGACACTAACCCCATGCCCAACCCTCCTCTTTTGCCCGGTCTTGGGACTGCCAGTAACTCTAGAAGAGCTACAGGCGGAGTTACATATTGAATATTAGTGAATAGTAAATTGAAATCTAACTACACATTTATTTACATCATATGCCAAAATTATATGTCACGGTAAAAACAAAGTAATTATTCATTATTGTAGCTATTTTCATTCCTGTGAAATAATGAAGATTGTCAGATCAGAAAGATGCTTCTGATTCAGATGCCATAGTTGTATAGATTCTATAACTAATGTATAAACCAATAGTTTATAACAATAATAATTTATATTCTGAAAATAATAATTACAGAATTCACTCCAGTTTACAGTCATGATCAATTTGATATAAATAGTAACATTAAATGTACAGAACAAACATGTGATAGAAGAAAGTTTTAAGTATACTAGTTCAGTAATTGTTGAGGTAGTACATGTATTACAGCGATCCAATGCATCAGCCGGCAACTTTTAATATTTCTTAAATGGACAGCCTGTTGATTTATGAACGGAGTAATTAAGGTCAATTCGTGTGCCAGATCGAATTAATGATAATTATCTACAACTAGAGAAATTAAAACGAAAACAGAGAGCACGGAACAACAAAGAAGTAATTACCAAAATACATCAATCAGGTGTAGCAAAATGTATGTCATGTGACAGTGATTTATTGTCAACGTTAGATATTATTCAAATTAGTTAAAGTTGCTAGGGATGGTGTTAACATAAAGTGAAAGCAAGTAGATGGCTGTACTTAGGAAGTGCACTAATAAAAATGGCTAAGTATATTGTTAGAGAACATCAAAAACATGACTGATTTGACTCAAATATTATAGAAACACAAATAACTTTAGAGTTTACCAAATAAATTTAAGAGTTTATTTTTTAATGGAAGTCTTTTGAAATCCACACGAGAACAGTTGTAGAGCGATCACTCCTTTCTAATTATTGGTTTTTGATCTATGACCCCCCCTTCGAAGTAACTGGTTTTGTATAAGCTACACAATTAAGTAAAAAGTGCTAAATGGCTATCAGTGATAGGTTTCATGCAATTCTAGCAATAAGATTTCAACAAATAAATAAGTTAGAATAATTAATTAGAACAATTCATTATATAATATCAATCCAGTAGATATTATTTATAAGTATATGAGTGTATATCAACAGGATACGGAACACTGCTCTAGCCAGAACTTATCCGGCAGCCAAACTTACAATTCTGTATAAAACAACATGTTCAATAACTCAATCAAAGGTTGACTAGCACCCCTTTCATGTTATCATCAAGTGTATTTATAAATTTACGTATATCTTCCAAAGCAGCTACATTGGCCATACAGATTTTTGAACATGTTCCAACAAAGCCTCAAAACAAGAGAAAGAAAGATTCTAAACACTGCAATCACCAAATATCTCATTGATACGAAACATCAGGTCGATATCTCGCAATCCTTCACGGTAATTAGTAAACAGCTGAACTACAGTCTTCTGGAGTTTGCTGAATGATATTATACCACAATTGAAAACCTGGAAGAACTGGACAGTCATAATGTCCTATTGTAGGACTCCTCAGCAGTGTGCATCTATGAATTTGAAATGAAACAATTATATAATTGGTAGTACTTAATGAATATCCCATTCTCTACAGACAGTAGTACAACAGAAATGAATAGACAAAACAAAAAACAAATCAAATGGTCCATTTTCACAAACAAAATCAGTCTATCTATAGCCACCAATTAGATTCACAAAAAATTATTATTTCGTTTGATTCAACTATAGGTATTATCATAGTTAACAAGCTCTAATTAACCAAATTATATTTGGGTGTATTCAATAATAATCACCAGGAAAGATCATAATTGAATATCACAACAACAAAAAAAGAATTCACTTCATTTGACTAGATCACTCTTCGAATTGACGACAATATTTAGAATTAAGATTAAATTGAAAAGAAACAAATAGCTTTGTTTATTATGAGAGCCAAATTTAATTCTACTGATTTCTATACACCATTAGACACTTTACTTGATTGTATGATGGTAGAACAAGGACATCCAAATGCCAGTAAAATATTATGTGATATTTCAATATTTCTTGGAAGTTTTATGGCTTATATATTCCCATTGATTGGAGTCTTTCATTTGATTTCTAATTGTATTGTTGCTATAATATTTCTATATTATCTAGTACAACATAATAGACAATTTGTATATCAAGGTGTTCTTGCTATATCAGATATTTCAATACTTATCACTATTGGATGGTTACGTTGGTTTCCTACATTTGGTTTACCATTTGCAACATCAGGAAATGTATATTATTTCATTTCATTAACATCAACTACTAGTTGTAAATTGTATATGTTGTTTCAATCGGTGACATGTATTTTTCGTGGAAATATCTTTCTAATAATGGCATTCGATCGTTTGTTGTTAATTCATAAACCATTAATCTTTAGGAAACATTCCAAATATATTGTCTGGATAATAATCAGCTCAGTCTTCATTATAACTATTCTAATGTCATTACCCATTTCCATCAATAGTGATTTGATTCTTATAATCAATCGTAAACTATGTTGGCATAAACACAACATTGATCTCTTAATCATTTATCAAGCTTTATTTTCATACACATGTCTAACACAATTTTTAATTGTCATTATGATTGATACATTTTTCTTAGTGAAAGTGGTACGTTGGTCACGTGGTCGTCCTCAACCAACAGATACACAAGCATCAAAAATGGTTAATAATTCACGTATTATCACAATGCTTGTCCTTCATAGTTTTGCATTTTTATGTGCATTACCATGTGTAATCGCTTATCTTCTAACAATTACTTTACATCGTCAAAATCTTCAAATATCCGAAGAATTTCTTCGTTTCTTATTACTTTTTTTGAATATTGGATGGACTTTAATTTTTCTTCAATCATCATTGAATATTGTTTTGTATTGTTTTCGTATTAATAAGTTTAAACAAATCTTACTTAAACCATTAACTACTCATCGTAACTAAACATCAATCAATCAATAAGAGATTAATTTCATTCGACTGATGATTATGAATTAATGGTCTCGTCTACTACAGTATCAAACACATACTCTGACTTCATTTAATCTAAGCTTAATCGTTTCTATGGTATAATCTCGATTTCATTTCATTGTAACGTTTCTCCTGTAAAATATTCTTTGTATTCATTTAATGTGATTGTTATTCAGCATATGTTTCTTTTTGGTAGTAATTTTGAGTATTTCCCTTATATGGGATATAGGTTGATTAATCACCAAGTAAAGGTAAAATCGATTTATGAATAAATGTATTATCTTAAATGTTTGATGTCTTTTGGAGAGTGAACTAAATTTTTTCCTTCAATTAGTATAGTCTATTACTTATCATTATGGAAGTCTCTGTGAATACTTATCAAAAGTTATCAAGCATTCAATATGATAGTAGTTTCTCAATATCCGCGACTATGTATGCTACTGATGTCGACAGATATAAGTAGCATGTATCATCAATTGAAAGTGAAATGTCTGGTAACAGAAGGTTAAGAAGATCGAAGAGAAGAGAATGAGAACAGAGAATGGTTGGTGTGAAAACGACGGAACAGTAAAGTCTGAGACAAGAGATTGATGTTTCGCAAATGAAGCATTTACAGTATGATTCTCAGATTTGACTATGATATTGTGTGATTTTGTATTCTGATAAATTTGGGTGTCGCTGCCTGTGTTGTCCTTCACTACACCATGTCCAATTGGATATATTCGTGAACATGAGAAAGAAAAAAGAAAAGTTCAAGCGGGTAAACTAAGTAAGCATAACAAATTGTTTTGTGATTTACTTACATTTTGATAGCCCAGTTGTTAATACATTTGTACAGAAATGTTAAAAACATTTTGTTAGAGCTTAGATTTGACAAATACAGTTGTACGCTAGACACTTAGTTTATCTTCATTCACGTAGATAATGGTTTCAGCGTAACATGAAATGTAACTTATTGAGTAATGTCCTACCGTATTTTACTCAGACTATTCACTAATAGAGGTGAAGTCCTGACGACTATCGGAAAATTGAATGAAAGCGTGTTCAGTGCATTATTCGTCTGTTTTAACATACAGATCTATGTAAATTACGTATTATTTAAAGTAACTATTGTACTAAAATATAGATATGCAAACGATAATTTATGTTTTCAATAAACTATCATCAGATTCAACAACACATTAGAGATGGTAACGTTGACAGATGTTCTAGAAATTTGCTCCTTTGTCTTTACCAATCCATTCTAGCTTGGTTGAACATAGGTGGAGTTGCAGCGGTCAACAGTTCTAACACAGCTCTCCTAGTACGAACAAGTTACAAGGTTAAAATCCATCGATCTTTCTTAAGAAGCTATTATGTTTTTGATCCTCCAGATGATACATGTGATTACATTACTAATCAAAAGACCCGGGGTCTAAATGTAAAAGAAATGGATCTAACCACTTCCTGATACTTTCCTATCAAATTATCTAATAGCTATTTCAATTATAAAGTAACGAAATACATATCCTCACATTTTTTACATTTTCATAACCTAAATCTATCTGATTTCATTACTCATTAACTTGCATATACACATTTGAATAATTTATTTAGAATCTACCCGAAATTGATTACCTCTTGGCAATCTCTGAAGGTCACTGTCATTTGATTGATAATCAAACACAATCAGTCATCATCAGCGTTGAGCCTGGCAGAGAAGTCTGTTGGCCCAACATGGCATAATCTGTTATTAGTGTAAGAAAAGTTAAATAAGATGTACAGTAAAAGGATTGCAATGATATGGTAGCAATGACAATGAAAAAATCATTGAGAATAGCTTTATAAAGATAGTGTATAAATGTTTATATGAGTGAGTAGTGTAATTCAAAATCGAGAGGAAAATAAATGGATATACGCCATTGTGAACGATTTTGACATATGTCATGGGTAGTCGTCAGCATCTAGTTGTGGTTCACACGTGGTGTCGGTGTATACATTCTTTGTCTTCCCTTAAACCGTGTACTATATCCTTAAACACAAACTTTCTTTTATACATTACTATCATTGAAGTGACTACTTCCATGATTTTTGTGTCCATCATGTTGTGCTAGTGAGGTGTGGCAACTTGAACTGATGCATATATGTACCTGGTCCTACGTTGTAGCCGACTGACTGACTCACACATGGACCCTGGTCAGGTTGCTCACATCAGCCAGCGTGGCTTAAGCCATCAGTTAATGGACTTATAGACTGGTACCAAGTTTCTGTTTAACACATCTACTGTTCTTTCAACTTATTCCTAATCCAGCAAACATGGTCTATTGAGATAAAATGCTATTAAGGATAAATCATACATGTCCTAACCCCCACAGTTTATGAACTACTATAACTTCACCATCCGATATCCTACTTTTACCTAATACACTATTTGTAACCTCAACATTATCCACTCAGTCGTTTTACCAAACTCAAGCAATGTTTCGAGCATTTACTTAAGCCTGTTACCCCTCGTCGAGGAGCATGGGTTGACCACCAGTATTTTCCATCCAACTGTCTTAGAAAGTCCTTACCAGTTGTTTCCAGTTGCCATTCATTCTTTTGATGTCTGCTTCCAAATCCTGACACAGTGTGTTCCCTGGTCTTCCCCTTTTCAGTTTCCCTTCAGGATTACAAGTTTACGCTTGCCTCATGATGCACTTTAGTAACTTCCCCAACATGTGTCCTATCCACTTCCAACGTCCTTTCCTAATTTCTTCTTCAGATAGAAGCTGGTTTGTTCTCTCCCACAATAGGTTGTTGCTGATGGTATCCATCCGACGAACATTAGGTATCTTGCGTAGACAAGTGTGTATAAATACTTGTACTCTTTTGATGATGTTGATAGTAGTGGTTCTCCAAGTTTTGGCTTCGTATAATGGAACTGTTTTGGTGTTAGCTAACAGTTTTTTGAGCAGCGGGTATTCTTCAGTTGTAGAAGTGCTGTCCTTGCTTTTCCGACCCGTGCATTCACATTTGCAATAGATTCTCCTCTTTCATCAGTGATGTTGCTCAGGTGGGTACGCAAACGTTTCCACCTCTTCCAGAGCTTCCCCATCAAAGGTGATTGGGTTAGTATTCTCTGTGCTGTATTTTAGGATCTTGATTTCTACTTTGTGTCTGTGGAGGTCTACTGATGTAGAGGATGCTGCTAAACTAGTTTTATACATCTGTATTTGTTACTCCGTATGAGACAGAAAAGCTACGTCATCTGAAAAGTCCAAATCGTCTAGTTGCATCTAAACTGTCCATTGTATTCCATGCATCCCCTCAGATGTCAAGGTCTTCATAATCCTGTTAACCACAAGAAGAAAGAGGAAGGGGAAAGTAAACAACCTTATGTGACTCCGTTCCTCACTTGGAATGCGTCTGTCATCCGCCTTCATACACAATTTTGCACTGTAGTCCATCGTATGAATTGCGGTTGATGTTGAAGATTTTCTCCGGTACACCATAGCGTCGAAGAACATTTACATAAGATTATCCTATCCACACTATCAGACGCCTTCTCATAGTCAAGGAAGTTGATGTATGGTGACCATTTTCATTTAATTAATTGTTCAACGATGATCCGTAGTGTTGCGATTCGGTCTGTACACGACCGATTCATAAGGAATCCGTCTCGTTTTTCTCGAAGTTGAGCATGTGACCACTCTTTCATCCGCTTCAGCAACACTCTGTTGAAAACTTTTTCTGTTACTGATAGTAATGTGATGCCTCTTTAGTTCTCACACTAGTTCAGATTTTCTTGATGAGATATCCTTCATCTCAGTATGTCTGTGGCACTTGTTCCTCCACACAAATCTTCCTGAATAGAACATGTAGTATCTTTGCAGTTACCTCTGTGTCTGACTTCAGTGCTTCAGCTGGTATATTGTCAGGTCCTATTGCTTTCCCACTCTTGATTTGCCCGATGGCTGTCCTGATTTCTTTGATCGTTGGTGGAATGACAGTTATGGGAGGGTTTATGCGTTTTGTTTCGATTTCCGGTGTGTTCAGTGGGATTTGTCTATTCAAGAGTTCTTCAAAGTGTTCCACGCATTAGTTCCTCTGTTCTAGAATCTCTGTGATTGGTGTACCTTCTTTTTCCTTGATCTTCGAGCACACCGAAAATGCACTAGACATGCAGTTTGCATTTAATTTCAGTTTACAGGAATAATATTTTTCATTTACATGGCTACGTTGTAAAATTTTCGAGTTAAAGTACAACACGGACAAGAAAGTATTTCTTTTCAGTTAATTCAATCAGTATATTGGTGGACTTTTGTTACTAGTTAACTACGAATAAAAATCGGAATTAAGAAACGGAATTTTGTTATAAGTTGGGAGGCAATATTTTTCATGAACTAATCTTGTTTAGAGTACCAATGAAGATGAACTTGATAATTGTTTCTTTCAAGTTTAGAACTACTGAATAATATTTATTCATGACTCAACCAGTAATTTTGATTTCAAAGATATTAAGGTCTAGCAAATCTCCCACCGACCGCTGAACTTCGCAATATTAGTTCTGATTTCTTCTCTCTATAATTACGCTTCACCTCCCTCGATTTTCCTGTAGACAGATTTCTAACTTTCAATAAACACATCCCTTCGTAATACCGTCTTCAGTCTACACTGATGTTTTATACCGAATAAATTACGTAGCAACTATAGACATTGTTTATCGATTTAGTCATTATTTTGTCAATTCAATGCCATCATTTTAAATGTTAAACTTGTACGATCTGTGTAAAAATTCAGTAATCATCTGTTGAATGTATGTTCTGTATTCTCTCATTCGACACCACTTCCTGACATGTTCAACTTTTGCACTTCTAACATTCTGAGGTTTGCCAAGCTGTCACGAGCATGAAGAACAGACGTCTTATCCCACTCTATTTCGCATTAATCCAACTTATAGATATTAGCATTTTATTTTCACTACTCACATGTGCGGCCTATTTCCTATGTAAAGTCAAGTATAATTTACAATAACTGTTTAAAAGTAATACTGACATTTCCAGGTCGTGAAAATATCCATTAAAACCATGTGAATGAATATATATAAGTAGATAACTTTTACAACTGAAGACAAAACCAGTATGAATTAGTTAACAACGTATATCTCAATATTTCCTCCAAATCCCGAGATTAGTTAAAGACGTAGTCCTTACAAGGTTAATGATATAATGATATATCAGTTGATAATCATAAGTGAGCAATGATGAAGCTGTTATGTCCCGATAAGCATAATGAATGGCAACTTCGGGATCCATTTATGGACCAATACTATGTGTATATTTTTATCGTATAATTGTTAAACAACTAAACTACACACATTCATG